TGACCGTTGATTGACTCGTCTCGCTTTTGTCAGTCGGCTAACGCAAAAGCGAGGACGCGTGTCTGACGCGATTTTCGACGAAAAAGAGAGAGGCGCGTGGATCGTATATATATGTTTTGAATTGTATAGATGCCATTTATCACTATTATTCTCTTTCTCCTCCTCCAGATTCTTACTCATGATTTCCTTTTGATAATGTCACGGGGGGAGAAAATTATATGATGTTATGTATTATGGTATTATTTTCAAACTAATCTGATATTATATATTTATAGTTTGATATCTTAATCTTATATCATGTTATTGATTAAAGCTTATTTATTACACATGTGCTAACCTATGTATTTAGAAATGAATTTAGGGAGCATGACTTGAGGGGGAGTCCTTGTTACTCCAAAATCAAATCAAAACATCATTGTGTGCCATCATAAAAAATGGGGAGATTGTTAGACTTATTTATTTTGATGATTTATTTAATTATGTTTTAATTTATTTGAAAGAGAAAAATAGAATCCAAAATTTATTTTGATGATTTATTTAATTATATTTTAATCAAAATTTATTTTGATAATTTATTTGAAAGAGAAAAATAAAATCAAAATTTATTTTGTCTTATTATTTCTCACCTAAACCTTTATCCTAAATGTTGTTAGAATGTATTTAATATTTGATTAAAGCATGAGTTCAAACAGCCTAAAACAAAGGTTCAAACAGCCTAGCACAACAGCATGCCAAAAGGTTCAAAAGGTTCAAGTGAAAGATATTCAAATTAGTAATGATGGAAGTACAACGACTATAAACGACTATAAAGGTTCAAAAGGCCAAAAGCTTCAAAAGGTTCAAGTGAAAGATATTCAAATTTGTAATGATGGAGTGAAAGATATTCAAATTGGTAATGATAGAAGTACAACGGCTATAATTCAAATGACTGCAACGGCTATAAACGGCTATAAATTCAAATGAATACAACGGCTATAATTTTCATTATATGTACCAAAGCCTCTAATGTAAACAAGTGATAAAAAAATCTGAAAATATTCTTTGATCTATAATCACTCACATCTATTCTCAGAAATTATACACTGAGCCTTATAGTTTTAAGCATATCTTTCCGTGTGAGATTTACAGAAAAATCAAAGTTTCATTTCATATATCTATCTTTGAGATATATTTATTGTAAGTTTTCTTTGAAAGTAAAAATACCATTTCATCTTGTAAAAGTGTTGCAAACACTGTGTTCTTGAAATCTTGAGAGTGATTGTGAATCACCTAAGATTTGCAAGGGTTTGGGCTTGTGAAATCTGTGTAAAATCCGTGGAGGATTGTTCCATTTGTAAAGAGGTTGCTAGCACCCCTGTGAAGCTAGAAGATAGTGGAAAATCTCAAGTGAATCTTGAGGAGTGGGCTTGGTTGAAGTCGAACCACTATAAATTTGTTTGTCTCCTCTTCTCTAATCTCTTTACTTTCTTACTACTGCTATAACTATCTAATATTCATGTGTTAATCATTTGATTTACTCTGTATGTTAGTTATACTTCATTGTTATTTTGCTTGATCATTTACTGCTAAGTTCATCATTGTGCTTGTTAATAATATGTTGTACTAGTAGTTAATTTTATTGGGGTATTATTAATTTTAATTTGTAGAAACCTAATTCATCCCCCTTTTAGATTGCTTTTTGGGTAACAAATTACTAATAAATAAAAACAAAACCAAAAAACAAAACAAAACAAAATACGATGTTTATTCCAAACCCTAGTTCTGCTTTATAGGGTAAAAAAGAACCCCTCCCTAAGTTTTATTACCTGAAAGGGTTTAACAGTTATAAGTACATGGCAGAGTGAGAAATATTATACTAAAAACATAAGGTATAAAAGTTACCATAGATAATTATTTAGGCTAAATAGTGAAAGTTTGGTTCGAATAAATAAATTATTTAAAATAACAAAAATATCATGCATAAATTATGTAAATAAAATAATCATAATCACGGTACAGAACAAAATATATGGTCAATGGATTCATAACAAACAGAGGGCCACTAAAATGATTAATCAGAGGGCAATGGTTTTTTAAGTCCCCAAGGCATGAGACATCCATGGTGATACTCACAAAACACATCAGTAAATATCAAATCCCCAAAATTATAAACAGTTTATATCTATAGGTTTCTCTCGTAAACAAATAGAGTTTGTAAAATAAATAATATAAATAAAATATTAATATAATTTATATAAAATAATTCATAAAATAATTCATAATTATTCAAGATATAATATAACTCACCTAAATAGTGACTCCTAATTTTAGGGGCTAGCATCCCTTTAGTCTGTGATCGGATTGGCTGTTGGGTCTGTGAGGGCCTACCACGAGTCCCGTTTTGATAATTCGAACCGTTTAATGTGTAGAACTCATCGAATATTATATATCTGTAAGAAATCACGTTGATCGAATATCGATAGTTACGTGATCAAATCAGTTTTGTATAAAAAAAAAAAATAGACGGTGAAAAAATAAATAGTTGACAAAAATTTAATCTGATAAAATAATTATTAATATCTAATCAACATAATATTTTATAGACATATAATATTAAATAAATTTTACCCATTAAACAATTCAAATTATTAAAATAAAACTCATAATATATCTCGATAAATTTAACAATACTTTCTAATTCAATCAGGATTGGCGGAGACCGCCCTAATTTTGCCTTCCTTTTCCCGGATCTCTATGCTTTTCCCGAGTCTCTTTCACTATGTTGATTCCTTTCTCTTTGGTCACTTCATCCTCAGGAATTCACCTATTTGTGTAGGTGATTCACTCAACACGTGGCTTTATTTGCCACCCTTGTTGTTTTCATTCTTATCACTAGGCAAACTTTATCCAAAAAAAGACAAAGTTTATCCTGACAAATAGTTAATTATTCTATGGCCCAAAAACTAAATTAATTGTATTACAATCTCTGTCTCTTTTTTTAAAAAAGAAAAATTGTAACAACCCCTAACTTGAATTAAATTACATTTGGAGTATATCCAGTACATATTTTTTTTTTCTAATCATAATTAGTTTATATTAACCCGGAGTTAAAATTAATTAAATATTTGGGGTGTCATTGTATATATTGTTGTATTTTCCTACACTCTGTGAGATATATATACATAGGTGCAAAATTGTTTAGAAAAAAGAGAAAAAATAATATTCTATCCTTCATAGAGGAAGTGATTGTTGCTCGGGGGTTTATGAAGTAAAATATTTTAGACTATCTTTTACACATTAACATGTTGGGTCTAAGGGGTTTTGGCTAAAATTTTCAATTATTAATTCACGGGACTCACATTCTATTATTTGGTTGCAATTTTTGTTATTTTGATTAGATTTCGATTGATATTCTATTCAACTAAATTTGCAAATTTTTTAATCTTATAACTAATATATATATATATATATATATATATATAACGCTTAATTAGTATACATTAATGTATGTTTGGAAGGCAAAATATTAGATACACACCTACCCTTTGGCATAGTATACAAAGCAGTTGTCCCGTAACTTAAACCCATAATTTCAAGATTATTAAGTTAAGGTTTTACCATTAAACCGATGATCATTCTATTCCTACAACTAATATACAAAACAATTATATTATTGGCATAGTACACAAAACAATTGTCCCATAACTTGAACCCATAACCTCAAGATTATTAGGTTAAGGTTTTACCATTAAATCAATGATCATCCCTATTCCTACAACTAATATACAAAACAATTATATAATTGCAATCATATATTTTCATATTTACTGTAAAATAAAATAGATAAAAGATAATTATTTATCTCACTAATCTAACGGAATAACTAATGTTACACTAATAACATGAATTGTTATTCTTCTCACTATTAATTATGCTAATGACTTTATTAAATGATCACAACCAATTTCCACTGCGGCCCCGCTATGTAGCTCGAATATGTGGCTCGAATGTGTGGCTCGACACCAAAACGACGTCGTTTTGGTGTCGAGCCACACATTCGAGCCACATATTCGAGCTACATAGCGGGGCCGCAGTGGAAATTGGTTGTGATCATTTAATAAAGTCATTAGCATAATTAATAGTGAGAAGAATAACAATTCATGTTATTAGTGTAACATTAGTTATTCCGTTAGATTAGTGAGATAAATAATTATCTTTTATCTATTTTATTTTACAGTAAATATGAAAATATATGATTGCAATTATATAATTGTTGAGGTGGTGCTGCGACGATCGGCGGTGGTGCTGCCTCCTCTTTCTCTGCTCCTCTCTTCTTCCTCCTCTCTCCTCTCCCTCTTTCTCCTCTCCCCCTCTATCTGTTCGAAAATGAAAGAAAGAAAGAAGAAAAAAAAAAAAATCGAGCCAAAATCGAGCCAAGAAATTCGAGTTACAAAGCTTTTTCCTTTCCACCACCATAACCAAGTTATTGATTCTTGGTATTTTTTTAATTTGTTTTTTCTACTTTGATCTCGGTCAACAGTGAGAAAATGGGGTACTAATAAAAGTGAGATGAGATGAGGTGAAGAGTAGTGATAGTTGTAAAAGTGGTGGAAGCGTTCGATGAGAGTAAGGAGATGTTTGGGATGATCTAAATAAGTGTATTTTTTAATTTTTTACGAAAAAATGTAAAATATGAGTTAGGTTTCAAGTGATGTGGTAAAGAGATGATGTAATTTAAATAAGATGATGTGACTTAAATAAGATAGTGACTTTTTGACTTTTTAACTTTTTTGAATTATGCCAAACTAGGCATAAAAGTAATTTTTGTTATTTCATGACTCTCGTTGACGGAGTTGACTTTTGAGGACGTCTGTGGAAGCCAATGTTATATTTTGTCAAACTAATAGGACAGCTGCAATTTAAGCAAATTGTTAGAGGAGGTAAATGTAATTTGTTTAAACTCTAGTCAGAGTCAACATTTTGGATGCCATAAACCTTTTCTGATTGCACTCCGTCTTCAGAACACAAAATTAGAGAGATAAAATCGGGCTATGCAAAGAGAAAGAGAAAGAGAGAGAGAGAGAGAGAGAGAAAGAAAGAAAGATAGAGAGATGGAAAGAGAGAGATAGCAGAGCACCGAAATCGGGCATGGGTGAAAATTATTCTGTCTTGGAGAAACTGAGGAAGGAACTGAGAAAGAGATTCGGGAGGAAGATGGGTGAAAATTGTTCTGTCTTGGAGAAACTGGGAGAGAGATTCGAGAGGGAGATGGGTGAAATTTATTCTGTCTCGGAGAAACAGAGAGAGGTCGAGAGGGAGATGGGTGAAAATTATTCTGTCTTGGAGAAACTGAATCAGCTAATGATCAGTAAGGCGTGCAATTTGACCGCAGATCAGATTGATCATATCGACTCTTTTTACTATCGGCTAAGATTCCTAGCAACCATTCTCAAGGATTTGGAAGAGAAGCAGCAGCAGCAGCAGCGTGAGCTGAACTATGAAGCTAAAAACCTGCCGATGCAAATTTATTATGTGATCTGCAAGACAAGACAACTCATCCGTTTTTTTGATGTTCATGTTCCAGGGCAGAGGGACTGCAACAACAACGGTGACAGTTTTTTTGATATTTTAATTGGCACAAATATCATGGAAGAGATTAAGACGATCGAGGCAAAAGTGGTGCAGTTTTATGACCAGATAAATCAGATCCAACTCGTACAAGATTTCAATGATGGAGTCCCGTCAATGTCTATGCCAATGGAGAACAGAACCATGGTAGATGAAGAAATTACAGTGGGCTTTGATGATGAGGCGTTGACTATAAAAGAGCTACTTGCTGGAGGGAAGAAGCAGCTACAAATGATATCAATTGTTGGGATGCCTGGACTAGGTAAGACTACTTTAGCCAGAAAAGTGTACAATGATCCTTACATCACACACTACTTTCATATTCGTGCATGGACCTATGTTTCTCAATTATCCAGACAAACAGATATGTTGTTGGACATTTTACGTTCTCTTAATGTCGTCTTTACCGATGAAATTGAAAACATGACCAATGAGAAGCTAGGCGAAAAGTTGTACAAGCAATTAAAAGGCAAGAGATATCTCATTGTCATTGATGATTTATGGGATATTGGTGCCTGGGTTGATCTTAAAATGTATTTCCCCAATGACAACAATGGAAGTAGAGTTATGTTCACTAGTCGCCTCAAAGAGTTGTCTATGCATGCCTCACCTGATTGCCATCCTCATTGTCTGCGTTTTCTCACTGAAGAAGAGAGTTGGGAGTTATTACAACGGAAGGTGTTTCAAAATGAAAGTTGCCCTCCAGAACTGATTGAAATTGGGAAGCAAATAATGAAAAAATGTGAAGGGCTTCCACTTGCAATTGTTATAATAGCAGGACTTCTTGCAAAGAACATCAAGACAGTAGTGTCGTGGAAACAAGTTGCCCAAAGTGTAAGCTCATACATTGTTAGTGATCCAAACCAGTACTTGGACACACTAGCACTGAGTTACAATCACTTGCCTCGCCACTTGAAACCATGCTTTCTCTATTTAGGAGCATTTCCAAGAGACCAAGAAATCCCAGTGCAGAAGTTAATTTGTTTGTGGGTAGCTGAGGGGTTTATACAAAAGATTGGGCAAAGAAGCGTCGAGGAAGTAGCAGAGGGTTACTTAATGGATCTGTTTCAGAGAAGTCTGGTAATTGTTGCTCAAAAAAGGTTTGATGGTCGAATTAAAGCATGTCGTATGCATGATTTGTTGCGTGATTTATGCTTGAAGAAAGCCGGGGAAATTAATTTCCTACAGTGGACTCACAATTATAAAGACGCTTCTCCTTCTTCTTCAAGTAATTACGACCAACACCGCCTGTGCATCCCTTCTTACTTGGGACCAAGATTTGATCATATTTTCTTACAATCTTATTCCCCAACAGTTCTTCAATCATTATTGTGCTTCAGACATGTGTTTGAGAAAATAATTTGTTACGATGACAATCTGTTCAGTGATATGTGCTCGTTTATTTGTTGGACCTTCAAACTTCTTAGAGTGTTGGAAATATGCTATAACAATGCCTTCTTTCCAAGAGAATTAACACGACTTGTTAATTTGAGGTATTTGGCAATTAATTTGAAATATTCCTGTGAATTACCGCCATCAATATCCAATCTCTCAAACCTAGAAACACTTATTATTAGGGTGATTCTATGGTACATTTAGATGTACCATACATTTAGTTATGAACTTATATAGTTTTATATCATAACCAATACTATATTAGTCATAACTACTATCATAATAAGTCATAACTTAGTTATATTCAATTATTTACTTATACCATATTACTTCATAACTAGGTCATAACTAAGATATTTAAATAATTTAACTCTCAAATTAGGCCACCTGTGTAACCGGTTACCAAACAGAGCAAAAGATCAGAGTAGTCCAACAGTCGGAAGTCAGTTGGCCTCCCTCTCTGGCTCGTGCTGTTGCTCTTCTCTTCTCCTTCCTCCTCTCTTCCACCATAGTCGAAGCTTCAACCATTGCCAAAGACCACCAGCCCCGTCGGCGTCGGGGCCACCATTCTCTCGGTGTAGACATCTTTCTTCATAACCTCTCACTGTCTTGACGTCAAGAACTAGAGTTTCTTCCATTCTAATCGAATATTTCCAAGAGATATTTTCTGTAGCTCAGGTTTGTTTCTAACTCTAAACTTCATTTACATTAGGGCTTTTGATTTGAAAACCCTAACCATTTCTTAGAAATATCTCTTGGAAATTAATAGTAAGAAATTAATTTTGATGGGAATTTGTATCACCATTTCTTCCTCAAAGTAAGTGTGAAAATCTATATGGGCAAGTATGTGTCGCATCTCATTGAGTCTAGGTATCAAGTTGCATCTCTAAAGTTTAGTGAAAATTTTTCAAATCTCTGTCGTGGTTTGTTTGCTACAAGTTGGATATCACATCTTTTTGGATTATCAGGTTGCTGATAATTTGGTGTTTGGAGTCGGGATAAATTGTGGACAGCTTAAACTGTGATTTTGGGTTCACCAATTAGTCATCAACGAATCGGAGATTTTGGGTTTGATCCATCGCAAAGTGTGTTATTCGCTTGCAAACAAGGTATTGCCTGGTGGGTTTCACCTGCTTTTCCTTCTTGTTGCAGAAAGGTATTTTCTTTAATTTCTATTGAATTTTCATAAAATGCTCTTCTTTTTATTTATTTATTTATTTATTTTAGGGGGTTTAATTTCACTTTTATCCCCTTAATTACCACAATTTTTTCCCCTATGATTTCATATAGTCCTACTAGAGACAATTTTTACTTATGTGGTTCAATTGTCGACGATTGTAACCAAATTTGATTGGAAAAGGGTAATTTTAAAATTGAAACAACTTAAATCATACGACAAAAACCCATTAAATAAGTTGTGGGGTGTAGTTTATTCAAATTGGTAAGAAAAATTAGTTTTTTGTTGTATTGTTTAAGATATTCAAATTTATGAAATACGTTCTTTGGGTCAAATTAGTTTTCAACTGTTATTAAGTTCTATAATCATTCTCCAATTGGACCACATGAAGATAAATTAGAAACTTTAGCGACTAAATAGACGAAAGTGATAGCTTAGGAATGAAATAGAAAAAAAGGTGATAGTTTAGGGACGAAAGTGAAATTATCCTTCTTTTTTCCCCTTCTTATTAACATGATAGATAGAGTTTAAATCAGTTTGATTGTTGCAAAAATTAAGTTTCCTTAATTTTGAAAGATGGTCTGTCAAATTTGAAATTTAATTAGATATATCCGGTCTTTGTGAGAACCATTTGAATCAAATAGTGTCCCAAATACTAGTTGCAACTGAAAAATTCGAAAGCTTTTCTTTGTGGAGATAGTGCCAAAATATCAAGTTGGCTTAGTTGTCTTGTCTTTATCTTGATCATGGTCCTTAGAGGCCTGTCCGCATCTATGTGCTCTTTAAATTGTAACACGTTTTGATTCTCTTAAAGCTTAACACTGATTCTGTTACTTAAAATTAGTATTTTTATGGTTGATTTTGTGTTAATTTTTTCCCCTGAGAAAATTACTTTTGTTGAACTTTTGTTTTTAAAATTCACATGTTTGAATTTCACGAGCCTACAATGTTTGGTTGTTCAACTACTATTTAATCTTGTGTCTTTATAGATATCTTTTTTATACAATTTCACCCTCTGAATATTGCATTTATCTTATCCTGGATATGAGTAAGTTCAAATGTTGTCAGCTTTTGTACTAATTTTATTGCAATATTAATCATACTTAATTTGCACTATGGTTTATTTTATTGGTTACGAAGAGTCTTGTTTGATGTGGTTGTATGAGAGAACCAATGGAAGTCGGCTGCTTTGTTGACAGCTGTCTACATAAAGATGTGACAAGTGTTTATCTTGAATCTTTATATACCATAGCCTTTGATCATTAACATCATCAATCTCTCTGTCGCTTCCTCTCCAACTTATTTCCACTGTTTAGAACTTGAGATGTAATGATGTTCAAGAAATTGATAATCTATACGGGACTCAATACCCATTTCAGAAGCAGCTTTGTCACGTTTATATTGATAGTACTTATAAGAATGGTTATAATTAGCATAAATGTAGGAATTTTTCCTATTATAATTTGTATCTGTGGCGTGTGGTTTTTATGTGGACAGAATATCTTTCCAATGGGAAGGCTGAATTTTTCTAGTTTAAGCTGTTGATGCATCCTCCCTACCCACAAACTTCAGATGATTTTCCATCATTTCTGGAGCCAGCTCGCTTCATATACGAGCACACTCTTTGTGACATGTTTCTTTAAATAGCCTCTTTTTTCTTTTTTTCTTTTTCAAATAATAATAAAAGCTTGGCGATCTTTTCACAAGAGAAATCTATTCATTTGATTTTGTTTATGAGCATTTTGTCCTTTGACTAAGAAGTTTTGCCTGACAGCTCAGGATTTTCATAAGGACACTGGTTCTCCTGTGGGTGCGTTAGTTTCTCAAGATGTTAACAGGTCTGATGACTTGAAGCAGCTCTATCCAGAGCCATCACAATGTACGTGTTATGTCCTGGAAGATGTTTCTCTCAGTGAGCTTGGGAACAGTCTGACTGAATTTCTACATATTCAAGATGATAAAAAATTGGCATCAAGCTCCAATTTAGTTCAACCTGCCGACAAGACTGATAACTTCAATGTGGAGAAGAAAGATAAATGCAAAGATCTAGATCAAACTGAACCAACCACTGTAACTTCTGAGAAATTTTTTCCCAAATGTGCAACATTTGCATGCTCTGGTAAGAAAGCATCCCTTGCTGTGTCTGCAAATGTGGAAGATGACATAAATGCTGCAGTATTGAAGAAAAATGGCCATGAATCTGTTAATCCTACATGCCCTCAATCCATATCCTTGCCTGTAAGTTTGCACTATATTTGTTTTCATTTTATGTTTTTTTTTTTCTTCATATTATTACCAAGTCATGATGCTTGGATTCCTATCATGTGAGTTTGATGCTGGAGCAATTCAAGACATAATCAATTGTCTTAAAAGTTGCTCGTGTCATTTGCAAGTACTTGGGCAGTAGTTAGGTGGATGCTTTAATTGTAGTTAGGATGTTACTACAGATGCTATTTGGAAGTAGTTAATGGATTTTGATCATTATTTTCAATGCGTGTTTTTCAGTTTCTTACAAGTGTAGGGTATGCATGCCAGAGGCAGTTGGGGTTGAATCCTGTTGCATTCTGAGGGAAGCATTTATGTGTGTATTAGGTGCCTCTTAAGTGTGTTCCACCTTCCCATTCGTTCTACCCGAGCCGGATTAGTTAAGATACTTTTTACAATTCTAATATATCTTAGGTAGATGATACTATAATGAATGCATTTTTGTCCAAGTAACCCGTAATTGATTGGAAGTTGCATTGTATGTTAAGCGTGTGATTTATGTTGCAAGTTGCCACTAGTTGACTGAAATGGTTACTTATATGGTACCAATTCTTTCTAGTTTTCTCTTTTATCAACTTTTTTCTTTTGAAAAGAAAAAAGAAAATCTAAGCAAAACATTTTAAATTTTGGAGACATTGGACATCATTTCAGGCTGGCTGAAATTTCTTTTACCCTTGGCTTCTATATTAGATTGTTGTGTGGAAGCTGGTGATAACCAAAGATATAATTATATTTGGAATTTTATGTAATGGCTGTACAATCATGGACCAGTAGCTGATTGAATGTACATGATGAGAACTAGTATCTTCCTCGAGCCACATTTTTTTTGGACAGTTCTGTTTATTCTTTTCTCTTCATGTTTTGCTTTCTTGCAGACTCCTTCAAAGCTAGTATCTGCCATGAAGGGTAGCCGTGAGAAACAGGGGATGACACCTCCAGAGAAACTGACCGACAGATGGGCGCCTGATGTGTATGATCCTCCTCCATCAATATCTACATCCACATCTGGGAAGATCAAGAAACCACGGCCCAAGAGTGAAAGTAAGAGGTATTATGATTATAAGAACGGAAAGAACAAGCAGAAGGGAAAACCTTCTAAAGGGAGCAGCAGTAAGGACAAGAACCACGTTTGAAAACACGGTGGGAGTTCTAACAAGTATTACCAAACGCTAGACAATGATGACAGAGTGGTCGACTATAATGAGCCTTGCGGTGAATCGGGGGGTTTTGGTGTTGGTAGCCCAAACTCATATTGTGGGAGTAGTTTCCCTAAGAAATCTGTCAGAGAGTTGCATTTCTCCATTGCAGAGGCTACATGAGCCTTATCTTCAATCACCACCGAGTAGTCCTTTCTTCTCATTCATGGTGTTAATAAATAAAGTACTGTTTTAGGGTCTTGTTGACTGTAGTTATAGTACTTCGGAAACTTTTGACAATTTTCTTTTGCAGTGCTGCTATTGGTAAATCTGCATTGACATCCTCACAAACTTCAGGTTTTGTCTGTAGATGAGTTTTTACAATCTAAGCTGCCCTTTCTTTTTTCCTGGTTTAAAGGAAATTGTCGTGCTCTTGTTCTTCATCGATTCTAGTCGGTGGGTGTTCCTGGTTTATGTTATTTCGTGTGTGGTTGGTGTTGGAATTTTGACCACAGTTTATTGTAAATCATTTTCCTGCCCCTGTTCGGCCAGTGGGAAAAGTTCTCTATTGGGAAAGCTGGAACTGTATTGGGTTATATAATTAGGGCTGAAAGGCAAGTTGTGTGTTAAGTTTTTAAGTTTGATTTGATAACTTAACGATTGTGAAATTATGTTTAAGTTTGATTTATTTGCATAACGAGTCGATATTAAATAAGATTTTAACAAATTGGTATGAGTTGAACAAGATTTTAACAAATTAATGAGTTGAGCTCGAATAACTTAGATAAGGTTTGGTTTGCTTTTGGATACTCAATTATGTTTTTAAATTATAATTGGGATGAAAAACATTAACTAAACATATTTTTAAAATACAATTCAAAATTATTTTTAAAACTCCTATTTCTCTTTATTTTATTATTATTATTCAATCAATTAATTATTTTTTTCTCTCTCATCTCTCTTCTCACATTCTTTCACATTTTATACATCAATCAATCTAAAAAAAAATTACAAATCATTGCAAAATTATTTTTAAAACTTATAATCAAACAAATTTTCTCTTTTCAAATCATAATTTAAAAATTCAAAATATAACTTCACACTCAAATTATAATTTTAAAACTAATGTAAGCTTATTGATTCAAAAAGTAAATTATTTAAATTTAGTTCGAAAACTTAGCCAGTGTAAACATGTGTTTACCTTTACTTTTGGTTTGTGAAAAGATAATTTTTTTAAATAAAATTTATATATGTTCGGCAATTGTTTAAAAAAAATCGTATTTTTTCTCTTTGCATTAAATTTCTTTTGAGGAATTTTTTTTAAGGTCTCTAGTATTAAGATTTTACAGCATAAAGGACACTCAATATTTTCATAATGTCTAAGGTCCCTCAACATCAATTCAGAGAAAATTCAATCCAGAGAATTTCTCTGGACAAATCACAGAAAAAATTTCAAATTTCTCTAGACACATCACAGAGAAAATTTCAAATTTCTCTAGACAACAATGAGTACTAGTGCTCTACTTCAGAAAAAATTGGGTTAGTTCAGAGAAATTCTTTAGTTTGGACTCAATTTTCTCTGAGTTGAACTAGTGCTCTGCTTTAGAGAAAATTGGATTGGTCCAGAGAAATTCTCTGAGTTGAACTAGTGCTCTGCTTCAGAAAAAATAGAATTGGTCCAAAAAAATTCTCTGGTTTGGTCCAGAGAAATTCTCTGATTTCCAAAGCTTCCACATATTATAAGGATGAAACACTGGAATATCTTGTCAATAATTGCCTTAAATCACATGTGGTTTTCGTTTTGGGAAAATAAAAGGAGTAACTTTGTAAAGAAATTTTAGTCAATGGACAAAAAAAGAAAAAAGAATTCAAATGAATTGGAGCACTGAGAGAAGAAATCTGTGGGTTATAAAATGAATTCAATTCTCAAGTTGACATCATTCAAAACATAAAAGAGAGTTCTTCAATATAACAAACAAAGCCTATATAATACTAACAGCGTATCACCACCACCCAACATGTGTGGCAAACAAACTACCGCCTCAGGCTCTCCACCATGTAGTCCGCATAGAGATTCCTATAGAAGCAAAATGCACAATGAGATTAAGACCATAATCCATGCCAGATGAGATTGATGACAAGCACAACAACAAATTTGCTGAAATTCCCAAAGTCCAACAGGAAACTCCAAATATTAAAAATATAAAATAGATGTGATCTATCGATTCCACAGTAATACACTCAATGTGGAGATGTCAGGAACAACTATATTAATTGTCCCAAATTCGAATAAAAATAGTATAAACATTTTTATGCAATGTATCTGATAAGCTACTATTGTTTTGGGCATGAATGGATGATTTCCAAAGACAGCATTGGGTCACACACCCTGATATTGGAAACAACATCACATAAGCTAACATATACAATATATGCCAGACAATTGAATAGTTATGATATTTATATGATGAACCCAATGGCTTTCTCTCTTAAATCTCAAGATATGTAACTAAAAATAAAGTTTTGTTTAAAAGAGAGATGCCAAGGGTTATCCTACCAAATAAATAAATAAATAAATTATTAAAACTAAATTAATTTTGTATTTTAAACTATTAAAATAGCTACACACTGAAGGTAAGCCCTTTTGGTTAGGGTTGCGCCACGAGTGGCTTCTACCAAATTCAGTTCAACCAAAACTTCATTAATAATGTGTCATCCATTGCTGTATTGGTTAGTCCATCTAAATCTAATACTGTGCAAATTAAGGAAAATGGGAAAAGAACACTGAAAGGGCGTAAAAATTCGTCACTTACATGGAATACTGGATCGCATCATAAGCATCTGAGGCAGGCAGAAAATCGTTAACTGCAACTTCCTTGTTCTCATTTTCTTGTCTAATTACTCGTTAAGAGAATAACATTCTTTCGATACATTCCTTTTGTACCCATTTTCCTTAAAGAAAAGAATTGTATAGACTAGAAAAAATTGTTACACAACGCAGAGTCAATTGCACAATATGAACTAAAGCTTTTAGAAGGATACAGTCCTCAAAGAAGTGGCGGATCTCAGCCAATCGATGTGGGCTGTCCACCCAAATGAGGTGCAAGTGCAAGGCTGCAGTACTATTGTCCTTGGGTGGTCAAGAAAGCTTGACAGCAAATAATGTGGTTCATGTAAGAGGTAAGTTGTGGCCTGATTACTGTGATCACTATCTTTACATGACTTGGCACAGCTGTCCTACAATCTGTTCATGACAGATAAAACTATGGGTTCTGCTAAATTTCATTACATAGGACACCCGAAAATATATAATTTTTCAGGGTCTGATTTAAATGAAACAAAATGCTGACAAATCCACCAAGCAAGACATGAACCTTTTTCCCCTTAATTATACGACAATGTAGTTGAAAATCTAACATGACTAAGGTTCATTCCAAGGTAAATAGACTTAATTTTTCTGGGGCTTTTTTATTTTTTAAAATACCCTGCCTGAACACCTCGTTGACTACCTTTTTATTTCTACTATTCTCAATAGAAAATATTTCCCAAAGATTGCTCATTCTCTCACAGGATCACTGGGTTCTGAATTATTTCATGTAAAACATTACTTGCTACATTTAAGCTTTATCAAGCCTCAAAATTTTCGGTACATCCGTAAAATGAAAACCAATATTGCATGCATAATCTGCAAATGTCTACAAATGTTTGCAAATGTGAAAAAATGCATATCAAACAGCACACCTGCATGATAACTAAGACATCCATGGGGTCATTGTCCTCACAGAGAGTACGAGGGATGAAGCCATAATTATGGGGGTAAACAACCGATGAGTAAAGCATACGGTCAACCTGCAACATGCATCGGCTTTAGCAACCATTGACGATCAAAAACAGATACTGAGATTAATGACTGACCATGCATGATTACCTTGATCATTCCCCTTTTTTTGTCAAGTTCATACTTCACTTTACTCCCCTTACTGATTTCAACCACCTGCAATAATTAATTATATTTATACTAGTCTTTGTGAATTGAAAATTTTATACTTTATGATTTTCGACATTTGTAAAATTGCTATAGATCATTGGAACAATAAAATTCATCTGAAAGAGATTAAAACTAGACAGTTTATTCAAGAAAAGAACCTGTAGAATGAAAGTCAAAACAAAGCTGTATATTTATAAAATAAAATAAAATAAAATAAATTCAAATTGACAGTTTAAGAGTTTTTCTAACAGACAACTGAGGACTTATTCAAACTCCATGTTTATTACAAACAACACAGGTAGGCGTTTTTTTCTGAGGATTTTAAAACCCAATTCTGCTTTTTGTAGTAGAAATATATTCCCTCTGGTTGCTCATAAAAGAGAGCAAAAGTTGGTCACTATCCTTACTAATAAGAAAACAAAAATTTCAAAGAATATCATGCCAGAACCATGGGGCAATCAAGTATACAATAAATTGTATTATCAAATTGAGGGTAATGGTCATAAAATTTTCTTATCATATTAGGTCCTTAACCATCGTTCAATCAATTATCTGATAAAATGTAGGATCACTGCCTGTGAACACCTTTGCATGCATGGTACAGAATTAGTACTTCAGCAAAAATAGACCAGAACAACTTTTACAGTCATTCGTGGGGAATGGGGATGCTACAGAACAATTAATTACAGTTGCAAGTTGCTTTCTACATATTCACATTAGGTATTGAGAAAGTAGGACCTTAAAGCAACTTATAGGTCAGTGAGATACCTTAAAATCACACGTGAACTTGGTTAGGAGTGAAATTTTAATTGAAAACAAAGGTGTGACCATCAAACAGTACACCCACATAACAGTTGCACAAAGGGACCATATGATGGTAATTGGTAATTATGCATGTATCAGTATTCCATCTATTCCATGTACACGGTTATAAGGTTTATTACCTGGCATTATAATATAAAACACATATTTTGATTTGGTTAAGCTACGGTTTTCCTCCAACTTTTAATAATTACTGTAGGTTAACTATGTGATCAACTTCAACTACATTCTTGATATTCCTTAAATAGACCTACAGCTATATAAATCTTAGCAGGTTAATATAATAAATTCAATGTAAGCCTGTCTTTGTTTGTCCCAATCGAAACTAGTAACAAATTGTTGGCAATTACTGAGCAATATAATAAAATGATGTACTTTAACAACATCCAGGTCCCAAAACATTAAAATGAAACTCAACTAGGGTATGTTTCCCAGAAATTAAAAAATTCAAATTGCAGGCCATGTGAAATTCACGTCAGGTGAAAACCTTCAATGACAGGTAAACAAAATTCTGGTTTCATGCTTAGTAAACCAAGTAAGTAAACAATCCATATTTAAATTTAAATTATTAAAAGCATTTAACCACTCTTTAGCAACGCCTATTCAATATCACACAGATCTAGCATACAAGTTGAGAGTAACGAATGCCCTTTGATTAGTCCTATATAGTTGACTCACATTCACAAAAAACCAACGTAATTGGATTGTTGAATGCATCATATGGAAACAACACAACTAACAAACATCAAAAAACCTAAACCTATTCAAATCATATTTTCCTAATTTTATAAACCAACCCAGCGAGTTCACAAAGGTGAAAGGGGCAGTTTCGAATAAGGGGATTTCGGTCTAGGGTTTCATAGAATGGAGATAGAGAAAGGGAGAGAAACAAAAACATTAAATAACACAAACAATCAACCTAAGCTCATAAATTACACCTGGAAAAACAAAATCAAGTCTTCTTCAAAGGAAATGGGACTGAATAAAGATGGGTTTTCGATTTTTTTTACCTAATCATACAAAAAATTCCATATCCTCTACTTGAAAACCCTAAATTTGAAAATTTCCTCTTAGCACAGACAAATCGAAGATAATACAGTAAATGTAAGGGCTTTGGGCAATTATGAACTACGTACAAACCAGTTTGTAATCGAGCTCGAATACATCTAGGGTTTCGTCGTCGCTGCAGGGAGTTGGGCGTTATCCAATAGGTTGTTTAATTTGGAGATGACGGTGGAGACGAAGGTGGTGGAGACGATGGCAGGAAGTGTAGGATCCCTTGACAGAGAGTGACACCTAGAGGGTTAAAATCAGTTGTCCGAAATAAAACAGAATAGGAGAGAAAGGTGTGGGACTTACCTGGATATGGTGATGGTTGTGGCAATGGACAGCGGCGACGATTGGAGAGAGAGAGAGAGAGCGTAATTTCTCCAAATGTTAGGACTGAAGAAAAGGTCCAGGGGTTTGTCAAAAAAAAAAAAATAGGCTGGAATTTTGGTTTGGACAAAATTTCGAGGGTTTGTTCCAATTTTTTTGACAAAAAATATTTGGAGGGAAAATTATGATAAATTTGATAAAGTTTTTTACTATTAACAATTATAAAAAATAAAAAACAAAAAATAAATCATGATTTGAGTATTATAATAAAATAAATTATTAATTTTTTATTTATCAATTTAAATCTTAATTTTTTTATTTGTTTTTAATATAATTCATTTTCTATTTTTGTGTATTATAGTCATCAACCACAAAATGTATAACCACATCACTAATTAGTGTAACAAAAATATTTAAAATTTTTAAAAACCAGAAATATCGTAATCAAGTCACAAAATTTCGTAACATAAAACACAAAATACGTAATGATATCAGTAATTGGCGTAACAAGATTGTTCAAAATTATTAAAAATCACAAATATTGTAATTAAGTCACAAACTTTTGTAACATCAACCACAATAATGTTGAAACAGACAGAGAGAGTAATGACAAGCTCAAGGATCCTAGTGTAGAGACACAGGAGTAGAGAGAGGTGATCGAGGTTGAAAGAGCAAGAATCCAGCGAGAAAAAACTACCAGTGTTGATCATTCGATAATCTGAGCAAAATAGAGGAGTCTGAGTGAGAAATAGAGAAAGCTGAGGCACAACTAAGACAAATCGAGGGAAATAAAATAGAACAAGAAAAGAAAAAGAGGAATAGTTGGGATATGTGTCATCCCAAACTCAATCTAACATCGAGACTAATCTAACCATCTCAAACCCGATCCTAAAAAAGTTCAAATTCCAAGTCCGGTCACTTAATCCAATAAATATAAACTATTATTTTCTTGAATGTATACAAGTTTGGAAAGACTAAATAAGTGCACTTTTTAACTTTTTATGAAATATGGGTTGGATTTGGATTGGGTTTGAAGTGATGTGTTAGAGAGGTGATGTGACTTAAATAAGATGATGTGACTTAAATAAGATAGTGACTTTTTGACTTTTTGGATTTTTTTGAAGATGCCAAACTTGGCCTTATTTAAATCTTTTTATATATCATTGAATTCAGGATGTTAATACAATTAAATGGTAAAATGAAAATGATTTTTAACAAGTGTTTTAATTTAATTCATACAAAGAAGTATATATATGTTTTTTTTTTGTCTTATATATATTTTTACTTTGTCTTATAATTAAAATGTTATAAAATTATAATTACTATTTATATAAATAAATGAACTTGGTTGTAACTCTATCTGCAGCTTTACTCGAACATTAAATTGGTGCAAAATTTCAGCTCAGCCCAGTACTATAGGCAAAATAATTTTTTCAAATCCTAACAATATTGGCCTGGGTTGAACGGGCCATTGAGCCGATGGCCACCCCTAGTGTAATGTCACAATTTTTTTATTTATCCAAAATAACCTCGCATAATTATCACTTGTAACTAACATGTGTCCTGCAAGTAATTAAAATTATATTCCAATAAAAAATTTTATTTTTATTACACACCCATTGAGCGACCACACACCACTAGTTGTATATGCCCAAAATCATTTTCCAACAATTACAGAACACATATGTGTGTACAAATTGAAAACAACAAAACCTTTTGAATCAATACTTAAGCCAAAGGTTTGTGTATGCATGACATTAATGTGAAGGAACTAGAGTTTCGAGATAGATGCATTTAGTAAATATAAAAATATCACCATCAATATAGTTGAAGTGGATAGAGAGAGCAATGACGAGCTCAAGGATCTTGTACAGAGACACAGGAGTAGAGAGAGACAATTGAGGTTGAAAGAGTAAAAATCCAGCGAGAAAGAACTATCAATGTTGGTCATTTGATAATTTGAGCGATTGAGTAAGAGACAGAGAGAGTTGAGGCACAACTAAGACAAATTGAGGGAAAGAAAATTGAACGGGGAAATAAAAGAGGAAAAGTTTGGAAAAAAATTTAAGAGCTTGAAAGAGTAAATTTAAGAAATAAATAAAATCAAATTGTAGATAAAATTTTTCAACACATTTTTTGTTAAAATTTCGTCAAATTATTTATATGTATGTCTATGTGTATATAGATATTTAAAATGTATATTGTTTGTATATTACTCTTTTTTATTGTATTTAGTAGATACTATGACTAAAATAAATCTAAAATAGAGATATGTGATCAAAGTTGGTTATGAGATATGTGGTTAGTGGTTTTGAGTTAGTTATGATCAAAGTTAGGAGTTATGGGTGAAAATGATGTTAGTTATAAGATGTGGCTATGAGATATGTGATGGTAGTTATGATCAAAATGGTATGGTTACGAGCCAAAAGGTATTGGTTATGAGATGTGTTATGAGATATGTGATTAGTGGTTATGAGTAAAGTGGTGTGGTTATGAGCCAAAGAATGTTGGTTATGAGATATGTGATTAGTGGTTATAAGTAAAGTGGTATGGTTATGAGCCAAAGAGTATTGATTATGATATGTATGACTAATGGTTACGAGATATGTGATGTTAATTATGATCAAAGTGGTGTGACTATGAGCCAAAGGGTGTTATGAGATATGTGATCAGTGGTTATGATATATGTGATGTTAGTTATGAGCCAAAAGGTATTGGTTATGAGATATGTGGGTAATGGTTATGAGATATATGATTGTTGTTTATGAGATATGTGATTTTGGTTATGAGCAAAGTGGTGTAGTTATGAGTCAAAAGAGTGTTTGGTTATGAGATATGTGATTATTAGTTATAAGATATGTAATATTGATTATGATCAAAGTGATGTGGTTATGCGCAAAAGGGTGTTGATTATGAGATATGTAATGTTGGTTATGAGTCAAAGGGGGATTGGTTATAAGATGTGGTTATGAGTTATAAGAGTAGTAGTTATGAGATATGTGATTAATGTTATGAGATATGTGATATTGGTTATGATAAAAGTTGTGTGATTATGAGCTAAAGGATATTGGTTATGAGATGTAGCTATGAGATATGTGATTGTAGTTATGAAATATGTGAAATTGGTTATCAACAAAATGGTGCTGGTTATGAAATGTGGTTATGAGATATGTGATGAGAGCTCATAACTAAGTTATGATTAATTTGATTTTAGTTATGAACAAATATGATTTTGGCTCATAACTATAAAAAGTGACCTGCTTACTAGGTCACTTTTAATGATATGGCTCAATCTGAACCATTGATTTTCTATGTACCATACATTTTTTAAACAAAATGTACTATAGGCTTTCCCGCAATACCAACGTGGTTTGGATGACAATATTTGGGTAGTTGTATTACTACCTCGGTGGTTGAGATCTTAAGTTTGAGTACCACAAGGGTGTAGATGAATTTGAGATTATTAAGCTTGTTGTATGCTTGACTATATAGTTGAATGTCTAATTTGATCCACTTTTTATAACATTTGTAATTAGTCTTGTCGATTGAAAAAGAAAAATACAATGTAAATACTTTCTCAACTTTGATAGAGACCCCACTCCTCCCCCACCTGTAAGGTGTTCTTTTTT